TAAATCTTTCCCATGCCTCATACATCTCCCCATCCCCTTGAGAAAATTCTTGAATTGAAGTTCTCATAGCATTGGTTTTTGAAACCGGATAGTACTTTTTCAAGAACTTTTGTTGCATTTTCGCTCAAGAAGTTATCGAAAAAGGTCTAAGATTGTTAAATCAATATTTTGCCTTATCTTTAAGGGTGAAATGAAAGATTTTTAATCGTAAAACCTCTTTCGGCATGTCCATACTTCAAGAAACTCATCCAAATGCTTGTAAGGTTCTTCACTTGGAAGTCTATGATAATTAGGAAGCATTTGAATAGTTTGCGGTTTAATCCCATAGTGATGTGTTCTAAAAGGGGACAGTTGAATGCATGTTGGTGCATTATACTCATTGGGCACATAATGATCTCTCAAAGCAAGAGGAGGATTCACAATTGGTGGCTCAACATAAGCACTATGATTAACTTGAGCAACGGGAGGTGGGGGTGGAACAAAAATTGGCCGAGGTATTCCCAATGGAACTTGGCTTTGTTGTTATGGAATGAAAGGTCTTGGCATGCCTAATGGTAATTGAATGTTGTCATAATGTACATTAGGGTGGAGGATACCTTTTTGGTCGATGTGACCAAGGTCCTCCACATGGTTCTCATTAATGTCCTCCATTGATGAAATTGAGTGATGGGAGTTACCCCTTCCCCTAAGATAGCGAACAATGGATTCAAGATGAAAATTAAGTGGGATAAGAGTAGGAATTAATGACCTACGATCATGCATGCACAAACAAAAATAAGCAACAAGCAAGTAGCAATCACTTCTCCTCCGTAACAAATCAATCAATAAACCTCCACATATATTGTTCCCATACTCCCATGCCTTGAACAATATATAAGAAAAATTAAATTGCCTCCACGCAGGCTCACGATCTATCTAGGAATTTAAAAACTTGCCTTCACTTGGGCCGACGATTTAAGTACGAAGAGAGTTAGAAAAGCTCACAAAAGGGTCTTAAGCAACTTCAAATGATTTTTCAAATTTTTTTTTCGCTTTGCTTTACAATTTTTTAGATTTTAGCTTTTTATGCTTAGCTTAGCTTGCCTCTTTGCTTTTGAATTTCCCTTTGCTTCACTTCTCTTGGCTCAATTCACCTAGCTAATTAAGAACAAACACAATAAGTAACCAAAGTAAAATAAAAATAAAAATAGGATTGAAAGAGTACTAATTCCTAATTGATTTCCAAAATACAACATTGCCAAAATCCCCGGTAACGACGCCAAAACTTGGTGTCGATCGTCGTGGTATGCACCAAAGTTACAATTGAAGTGTAGTGTGGCCAAGTTTAAATTTATAAAATGCCACTATCACTACTACCTATAAATGTAGTTAGAGTGAGTAGGGATCGTCCCAAGGGATATGGAGTGTTTTTTTGCTTGGAAATCAAGGTCAGATTAGTAGGTCTAGTGATCAAAGATGGTTTGATTGGTTAATTAAACTACAATTTAAACTAATTAAAAGCAATGTGAAGCGAATAAAATAAATGGAGTGTAAAGAATATGAGAGAAAGGCCTTCAGACTTAGAATTCACCATTAAGCATCACCTTCCTAAACATTCAATGTTTGATAGATTAGGGGGATTATATGTTGTAATTAAAAGTGTGTGCCATTAATTGAATTAACAAGCATGGATGACCAAATAAGTATATATTGTCTAGCCAAACTAGTGAGTAGTATAACATATTAAATTAAGCCATTATTCCTTCCTTAAGGTTCACAATTAATACACATCATCATATTAGAGAAATATACTACTTGCATTCATAAGCATGGAATATCAAACAACAAGCATGGATTGCCCTCCCATCTAAGAAAGTAAGACAACTATACTACAACTAGGTTAGTGACATGAAAATTAAACTAATTAAACTAAAGAAGAGGCACAATCCATTAAGAAATGAGTATGAACCATCAAACAAACCACAAGAGTAATCTATTTAAGCACTATGCCTTGATCATCACTAGATTCATAGCATCAACACACATAGACATGCATCAATATCACAAAATGTAGAAATAAATACATGAACATTCATCCTAGCATACATAGACATATGGACAGAATTAAATGATCAATTGAAAGTATTTAACTATACAAATCATTGTAGAAATAAGATTTATATATAAAAAATGTTAAGACAAATATTACAACACAAATCCCCTTTAATTACTAAGCATCAAAGTTTAGGAGGCATGCTTAGGGCTATCTTTAGCCCCAAGAGAATGGTTTAGCCACTCATTGATGTTGTTATCCAACCCTCAAGGGCTATCTCTATGGTAGAAATGATCTTCTTCTCCTTGGTGGAAACCCTAGATGAATGAAAGAGCTCTCTCCAGATGGTGTGTATTTCTCCCTCTCTAATCTCTAGACTCCTCTCTATGGTTATATTATTCTATATGGTTCTAAATGACTAAAATCCTTATATAGGTAGCTCAAATGTCACACCCAATGGTCGGAACTCGTGCACTAGGACCTCCAAATGATTGCACCACGAGCACACCTTTTAATTGGCTGGAACTTTGTTTTTCTCGCATTTGAGGAGGTTCGATCGATCACAAGGTTAGTTCGATCGGTCAAACTAAGGCGGCACCTTTTTGGAATAAAGACAAGGTTGAAATATTTTTGGGATATTTTGGGAAAAGGACAAAAGTGGTAGGTGGGGATAAGATAAAAAATGTTGGATCGATCGAAGGAATGTTGGATCGATCGAAGAGGGGAATTTCTTGAGGATAAGGACAAGAGGCTCGATCCATCTTGGCATGGTTGGAACGATCACTGTGAGATTGATCAGAGCTTGGTTCGATTGATCAGAGCTTGGTTCGATCGATCGAAGAATGCTGTTTTCCACCACTTTGCTCCTTTCTTCCACTAAGCTTGAGATTGCATCTTTTATGCTATAATTTAGCTGAATTTACTTATTTTGGGGATAAGTGCCTAAAAAGGGAAATAACATGAAATTAGACTAAAATGGTAAAATATAATAGATTAAGGTCCTAGAATGCTCAAGCTTAAGGGGTTTAAATATGCACTTTTCAGCACTTATCATTAATCACTTGCAATGACTTTCTATTCTTCAAATCCTATGCATACACATACAAATATATATAATTGTTGCCCAAGTATTGACTCTAGAGGGGAGGGGGGTGAATAGAGTCTTGGCAATAATGATCAATTTTCGATTTCAATTAGAATGCAAGTATTAAGCTACTTTTCTCAACAATCGTTTAATGAAATAAATAGAGTTTTAAACAACAAAAATATCATTCTATCAAGTGATCATACATGCCGAACTTTAAGCAGTAAATATAAGAGATAAAGAGAGAGATTGCAAACATGTACTTAGCGATTTTAGCGAAGTTCGGAAACTCCTACTCCTCGGCTCAAGACCCCTCTTGAGACTTCCCAATCCATTATGGCTTCTCCTTACAGGTGCAGAGCAAACCTTTTACAAGAAGCACCTCCTTGCTTCAAATTGCTAAGAGAAACATTTTCTCTTAGTCTTCCTTGGGCCACACCAGTCCTTATAAAATTTGAAGAAGAGAATAGAAGTACAAGATAATCTCTCACAGATTTGTAGTACAAATTTCAGCTCACTCTAGAGTATGTTGAATAAATTGAAGCTCAATACTCTATTGATCATATGAAGTGTATGAATGGTAGGATAAAGGCTCTTTGATTGCAAGGATATATTTCTCAAAAGTTGCAATACTCTTTTGTGAAGACTATAACTCATTATATATAGTTTCAGTTGTGTCTGATATATTTTCTAGCTGTTGGACACATAATTCGAGCTAATATAGCCATTTGAATTTGAATCTGCACTAAGTCGGTCGACCAAAATGAATCATTAGTTTGTTTCGGTCGTCCGAAACAACTTAAGCCTGTCTTGCAATTTTTACTTCGGTCGGCCGAAATGAATTAAGCTTTTATTTCGGTCGTCCAAAATAACTTGAGTCCTTATTGCATAGCCACTGTTAAAATCGGTCGTCCGATTCATATTGTCTTTCTATTTCGATCATCCGAAATAGCTTGAGGTCTTGTTGCATAGCTATACTTCGGTCTTCCGAAATAGCATTTCAGTCGACCGGTTGTGACTTAAGTTTTTAGCTTAGCTACTGTTAAGATCGGTTGTCTGTTTCAAATTGTCCTTCCATTTCGGTCGACCAAAATGGAACTTCACCTTCAAGAAATTTGTTCTAAGTTATAAATGAAGTTTATTCTTTATGTTTCTTGATTATCATGCAAGTGATTAATGTATAACCCTAGATATGGGCTTCAAAATGTTTATACATACTTTGACAAAAGTTCCTAAAAGCTCACCATCTTATGACCTTTTCCCGTATCTTCATGATGCTCCTTTTTATTTGTGCTTTACATGTAATGTCTTGTCTTGATGAATGCTTAGATCTGTAATTTTGCTCAAGGTAGACATTAGAACTCATAGAACATCATTGATGAATTATAATCATCAAAATCCTTAGATTCAAGGTCAATAATCTCCCCCTTTTTGATAATGACAATTTATTGATGTGTTCGATAAACAAGAGTAAAAGTATGAGCAGTGCTCCCCCTATCAATGCGCATAGTTTTGAAAATGAAATCATACATGTAAGAGATTACAAATCTCCCTCTTTCCTTGTGCATCTATTTTATCATTATAAGTAAGTTGAGATTTCTCATAGCATATTCAAAACATATATAACTTTGAAATTCCACACATGATTGATACAAATTCATAACATCCATTTCATTAGAATAATAAAGTCATATCTTAGCATTGACATCAAAAAGAGAATTTCTCTTAAAATAATCAATAACATAGAGAAATTAAGCACAATTGACACAATTGAGCACCAACCAAGATACACATCACCAAAAGACAAATCCATCACACATCATCCTTTCTCCCCCTTTGTCATTAATCAAAAAGATGGGTGGGGAGGGCACAACAGACGATAATTCAGAAATGAAGGAGTTCCGTAGCTCGAAGACCAGCAAGATCGTGCTTTACAAGGTCAATTTCATTTGTGACTTCTTTAACTCGTTCACGTAGAGCTAGAATGTGTTCCCTATTTTCTTTGCCAACGTCAATTTGCTCTTTAGAAAGAGTGATACTTTCTAATAAAAGCGCATGAAGAGAACTTTCTTCTGCTGGAGGAGCTTGATAATCATGGGTTGCTTCTTGTTCTCCTCCTTCTCCTTCTACCTCTTTTTCTTCTTCTTCTTCTTCTTCTTCTACAACATTTACCTTTGCATTTTCTTCTTGTTGCTCTGCCATAGCAACAATCTCTTGGCCCACATTTGCTGGGTCACCAAATTTAGGGAAGTATTATCTTCAGATTTTTTGAGACCCATTCGGCTAAGTAGATCTTTGTTAACCCGATAGAGATTAGTTAGTTCTTTTTCATCCTCTCCCGCTAGCCGTACTTTGTTGGCTCTGAATATCATGGTAAGAGCCATGGCATAGAATAGATGAGTTTTCTGCTTCTTTGCACAATCTTGTATGTGATGAAAGATGAGGAAGGCGAGGTCAAACTTTTTTCTGTTTAGGACACACCAAATCATAAATGCTTCTATAAAGGACACATTCGAGCGTCTGTCAGAATTTGGAAGTATGGTATGAATGATAACATGGTAAATAAGGCAAGGTTCCACGGTTAACTGACTTGCAAATATCTTATCAGTGTATTTGTTAGGAAATTGGCTCATTTGTTGAACCGCTTGTAGCTCATCAAATCCTTCCCCATTATACCAATCATTGGCAGTATAATAAGTGATATCTCCTTGAGGTATTTTCAGAATACGGCGAATATCAGATAAGGTGAGTGTAATGCTAGTGCCTACGACAAAGGAATTGAAGGTGTTTTGCCCTAGAACTCTCTCAAGATGAGTATCTTATAAGTTTGGGGTAATAAGGAACTTTGAGGGATACAAATCCACCCAAGCCAATAGCATCAAATAGAGCGTAAGTGTTCCTAATCAATTCTTCAATTTCACTTCTATCGAAGAATTTACTTTTTGCAACTATCTTATGGAGGAATTTAGTTTCATAGGTTTCTTTGAAGTGTGGTTAGCCCGAGTGCAACAACAAATATTAAATAAAATTAATCGATTTTGAGAAGATGTGTTGGATCTTACCTTGGATGCGAAGAGGAGAAAGAAGGAAGTTTTGCAGTCGCCTTTCGAGAGAGAGAGGGATGGTATATGAGTTAGGAGAGAAAATGGTTTGCGGATTACTTAAAGTCAATGGGCCCCGAAGAATCGGTCGACCGAAATGACTTCATCAGTCGGCCGGTTCGCATCTTAAACCATCTTGACTTTCTCATTTCGGTCGGCCAAAATAGAATTTCAGTCCGTCGAAATGCTTATTTTGGACGGCCGAAGTGATGTTTCGGTCTACCGAAATAAGTACAGAGGCAACCTTTTGAAGGATTTATCAGTTTATAGAATCTCACTTTCCATGGTTATTCCGATTTCCCGTCGAAGAGTGCAAAATCTATCTTCTTGAAGTGGTTTCATGAGAATGTCAGCTAATTGATTTTCAGTGCTGATGAATATCAATTCAATATCTCCTTTTAATACATGATCCCTTAAGAAATGGTATCTAATTTCAATGTGTTTTGTTTTGGAGTGCTGAATGGGATTTTTTGATATACAAATGGCGCTGGTGTAGTCACACTTGATAGGAATTTTTCCGTAGAACAATCCAAAGTCCTCAAGCTACTGTTTAATATATAAGATTTGTGCACAGCAGCTGCCAGCAGCAACATATTTAGCTTCAGCAGTGGATAATGCAATTGAATTTTGTTTCTTGCACGACCAAGACATGAGGGACTGACCTATAAAGTGACAGACACCGCTTGTACTTTTTCTATCAACTTTACATCCGGCAAAGTTCGCATCAGTAAAACTAACAAGTTCAAAGGATGTATGCCTAGGATACCATAGTCCTAAGTTAATAGTGCCATTTAATTATTTGAATATACGTTTGACTGCATTTAAATGAGACTCTTTAGGACAAGATTGAAATCTAGTGCATAAACACACACTAAACATAATGTCCGGCCTACTAGTCATTAAATGCAGAAGACTTCCAATCATCCCATTATATTTTTTAATATCAACATCTTTGCCTTTCTCATCCTTATTAAGCTTCAAGGATGAACTTATGGGAGTTTTGGCATGTTTGGCATCCTCCGAGCCATATTTCTTTAGCAAATCTTTAGTATATTTTGATTGGCAAACAAAAATACCATCAAGAGTTTGTTTAATTTGCAGCCCTAAGAAGGAGTTGAGTTCACCCATTATGCTCATTTTAAACTCGTTTTACATTGAGGAGGCGAACTCTATACTTAACAAGTCATTAGTTGATCCAAATATAATATTATCAACATAAATTTGAATGATCAACAAATTGTCATCAATGATTTTGGTAAGAAGTGTATTGTCAATTTTTCCTCTACCAAAACCATTTAAAAGTAGAAACCCACTAAGTCTTTCATACCAAGCTCTAGGAGCTTATTTCAAACCATATAAAGCTTTAAATAGTTTATAAATGTGGTTTGGACTTTCATAGCTTTCAAAGCCCTGTGGTTGTTCTACAAATACTTCTTCATCTATAAAACCATTTAAGAAAGCACTCTTTACATCCATTTGAAATAATTTGAAATTTTTGTGAGATACAAATGCAAATAACATTCTTATAGCCTCAAGTCTAGCAAAGGATGCAAAAGTTTCTTCATAATTGATACCTTCTTCTTGGTTATAGCCTTTTACAACAAGTCTAGCCTTGTTCCTTACAATAGTTCCCAATTCATTCTTTTTGTTCCTAAATACCCTTTTGTACCGATGATTGTTTTATTTTGAGGTTTTGGGACAAGATGCCAAACTTTATTCCTTATGAATTGAATAAGTTCTTCTTGCATTGCCAAAAGCCAAGATTCATCATTTTTAGCCTCATATATACTTTTAGGTTCGATTTGAGAAACAAATGCCACAAAATGCATATATTTCTTAATTGTAACCTTGTACTAATACCTTTGTATGGATAACCAATAACTTAGTCTAATGGATGATTATGAACTAACTTTCATTCATTTAGAGTAGTTTTATTTTGAGAGATGTCAATAGGAGACTCATTTACATTAAGTTCATTGATACTTTTCTCAAGCTTAATAGGAGACTCATTTACATTGAGTTCATTGGAGCATTTTTCAAGTTCAATCTCTTCATCATTGTCCATCATACTCTTTATAGGTGGAGTTATGGATTCATCAAATACTACATGTATAGATTCAACCACAACTAAAGTCCTCTTATTGTAGACTCTAAATGCTTTTCTTCTAGACAAATAGCCAAGAAAAATGCCTTCATCGGATTTGGCATCAAATTTTCCTAGATTATCTTTGTCGTTAAGAACATAACATTTACACCCAAAAATCTTGAAATAACCTATATTAGGTTTCCTTTCGTTCCATAATTCATAGGGTGTCTTGTTGAGAATTTTTCTAATGACAACTCTATTTATGACATAGCATGAGGTATTAACGGCTTCGGGCCATAGAGATCTAGGTGATTTATGTTCATTTAGCATGGTTCTAGCCATCTCTTGAAGAGACTTATTCTTCCTTTCAACAACTCCATTTTGTTGAGGAGTTCTAGTCGCAAAATCTTTCAACGTCTTAATTTTCAAACTTTCTACCCCTATCACTTCTAATAGTCTTAATCTTGCACTCCTTTTCGTTTTTGACTCTTTTACAAATTTTTGAAAGAATTGTATGAGCCTCATTTTTACATGCAAGAAAAAAATACCCAAGTAAATCTAGAGTAGTCATCAACAATTACAAAGACATAGAGTTTTTCACCAAGACTAGTAATTTTCTCCGGCCCAAATTTATCCATATGAATTAATTTAAGTGGCTTTGAAGTTGTTATATCTTTTTTTTCTTTTGAAAGAGGATTTGACTTGCTTACTTATTTGATAAGCACTACAAGGTTTTTCTTTTGAAAAATTAGTCCTTGGGAGACCTTTGACTAACTCATTTTTAGACAATCTTGAGATCAAATCCATGCTAGCATGTCCTAACCTTCTATGCCACAACCAACTATGTCCATTTGATGAGATAAAACATTAACATCTTGATCATGAAGTTCACCCAAGAGTAAAGTATACACATTACCACTCCTAGGGGCACAAAATATTTGAGTTTCGTTCTTTTTAACAATGCATTTATCCATTTTAAAAATCACATCAAATCCCTTGTCACATAGTTGGCTAACACTAAATAAATTATGCTTTAATCTTTTAACAAGTAAAACATTATCAATAGACAAAGAGGAAGAAATACCTATGGTTCCAATGCCAACCACCTTGCCTTTAGAATTGTCTCCAAAAGTGACGTTTCCTCTATTGTATGCTTTTAGAGAAGAGAATTTTGAGTAGTCGCCTGTCATATGTCTTGAACATCCGCTATCTAGAAACCATTTGTTTTTGAAGGATGAGGATGCCTTCAAACCATCCTACAAAAGAGATTTTAAATAATCTTCACTTGGTACCCAAATTTTGTTGGATCCGTAAGAGTTAGGAAGCGACATGTATGTTCCTTTAGGAATCCATTTCTTTATGATTTTTAGCCTTTTCTTTGAGCAATCTTGGATAATGACCTATTCTTTTACAATAGTTACATCTAATATTCTTGGCTTCATTTTTAACAAAATAGTTAACCAAAGGCTCTCTCTTTTTCAATAGGCATGCATTTTTGTCAAAAGGATCATATCCTAATCCATGTTTTTGAAAACACTTCTTTGACTACCTAGCATAAGTTCTAGATTTTTTGTACCTTGAGTAAACTTTGCTAGACCATCAATTTGGTCTTCAATAATTAATTTCAAGGATTCGTTTTCAGAAACAAGATCATGTGATGCTGATTCTTTTAGTAAGATGCATTCCTTTTTCAAACACTCATTTTGAATAGTTTAAAGTTTGTTATCAAGGATGAGCTTTTCTCTTCTTAGAGAAGCACATTTTTTGTCCATTTTACCTAGTTCATCATGTAATTCTTTAAAAGCATCAAGTAACCTATTATAAGCATCAATCGAATCATCATAAGACATTTCACATTCAGATGAAGAGTCAAGGTTAGAGTTTACCTCATCTTCATTTGCCATGAGACAGAGAATAGCCTTTTCCTCATCACTTTCGGAACTGTTTGATTCATCATCTTCCCAAGTGGCTTGCATTGCTCTTCTCTTTTTCTTCTCCTCTTTATAAATAAGACAATCAGCTTTGAAATGTCTTGGTTTTCCACAATGAAAACAGGTAGGGGTGTCTCGTTTGCCTTGTTCATTGGATGATTCACCTTTTCTGAATCTACCCTTGTTGAATTTCTTCCTTTGAAGAAATCTTTTGAAAGATTGAGTAATGAGGGCCAAATCATCATGTTCACTTTTGTTACCAGCAGCTTCCTTTTCTATTTGAGAGGATTTAAGAGCAATTTCTTTCTTTCGGTGATGGTCTCATTCTTTATCTTTAAGGGTGATCTCCCATGTAAGAAGGGAGCCAAGAAGTTCATCAAGCTCAAGTGTGTTGAGATTGTGAGCCTCCTTAATTACTGTAGCCTTTGCATCCCATTTTTAGGTAAGCTTCTTAGAATTTTTCTTACAAGATCAGAATTAGTATTAGTTCTACCAGGATGCTTCAAGCCATTTATAATGTCAGTAAATCTCACAAACATTTCACTTATAGACTCATTTTCATTCATGCGAAATAATTCATATTGATGCATAAGAATATCAATTTTAGATTCCCGAACTTGTGATGTTCCTTCATAGGTAATCTAAAGTTTATCCCAGATTTCCTTAGCCATGGTGCATTTAGAAACTCTATTGTACTCACTAGGGCTTATAGCACAATTTATGTTTACTTTGGCTTTAGCATTTAGGGAGATGAGTTTATAATCCTCGGTGTCCCATTCTTCTTCAGTTTTAGGAACTCCTTTTGTATCAACTATTTTCATTAGAACAAATGGTCCATTAACTATGACAAGCCAAATTTGATAGTCTACAGATTGAAGGAAGTCTATCATTCTATTTTTCCAATAACCCATGTTTGTTCCATCGAACCAAGGAGGTCTGGAATTTGATTGACCTTCTTAATGAAAGTGACCATTTAAGTTTGCCATGATTGTTCTCTAATGCATTTAAGCTTTTTCAATAGAGATTAGGCTCTGATACCAATTGTTGCCCAAGTAATGACTCTAGAGGGAGGGGGGTGAATAGAGTCTTGGCAATAATGATAAATTTTCTATTTCAATTAGAATGCAAGTATTAAGCTAATTTTCTGAGTAATTATTCAATGAAATAAACAGAGTTTTAAGCAACAAAAATATCATTCTATCAAGTGATCATACATGCTAAACTTTAAGTAATAAATATAAGAGATAAAGAGAGAGAGATTGCAAACATGTACTCAGCGATTTTAGCGAGGTTCGGAAACTCCTACTCTTTGGCTCAAGACCCCTCTTGAGACTTCTTAATCCACTATGGCTTCTCCTTACGGGTGGAAAGCAAACCTTTTATAAGAAGCACCTCATTACTTCAAATTGCTAAGAGAAACACCTTATTTTAGTCTTCCTTGGGCCACACCAGCCCTTACAAAATTTGAAGAAGAGAATAGAAGTACAAGATAATCTCTCACAGATTTGTAGTACAAATTTCAGCTCACTCTAGAGTATGTATGAATAGATTGAAGCTCAATACTCTATTGATGATATGAAGTGTATGAATGGTAGGACAAAGGCTCTTTGATTGAAAGGATATATTTCTTAGAGGTTGCAAAAATTCTTTTATGAAGACTATAACTCATTATATATAGTTTCAGTTGTGTCTGATGTATTTTTGAGCTGTTGGACACATAGTTCGAGGTAATATAGCCGTTTGAATTTGAATCTGCGCTAAGTCGGTCGATCGAAATGAATCATCAGTTTGTTTCGGTAGTTCGAAATAACTTAAGCCTGTCTTGTAATTTTTACTTTGGTCGGCCGAAATGAATTAGGCTTTTATTTCGGTCGTCCGAAATAACTTGAGTCCTTGTTGCATAGCCACTGTTAAAATCAGTCGTCCGATTCATATTGTCTTTCTATTTCAGTTGTCCGAAATAACCTGAGGTCTTGTTGGATAGCTATACTTTGGTCGTTCGAGATAGCATTTCAGTCGACCGGTTGTGACTTCAGTTTTTAACTTAGTTACTGTCAAGATGAGTCGTCCGTTTCAAATTGCCCTTCCATTTCGGTTGACTGAAATGGTATTTCACCTTCAAGAAACTTATTCTAAGTTATAAATGATCGATTTTTATTCTTTATGTTTCTTGATTATCATGCAAGTGATTAATGCATGACCCTAGATATGAGCTTTAAAATGTTCATATATACTTTGACAAAGGTTCCTAAAAGCTCACCATCTTAGCTATTGATGAGCACAAATGCGTACCACTTAAAAATATCACTTATAACAATAGCACATTCATCATTGCAGATTAATGCTAAAGTAGGGGGTTGTCGAACCACAGGGATTACTAGTTTATGGCAAACAGAATTATAAAACTACTTCCTCTATTTGATAAAAGAAATGATAAATCGATTGGTTTGTCACTTAACCTACGAATTTAACTTTTAGAAAACAGTAAATAATGTAAAAAGGGTGGATTGAACTTATAAAGAAAAGGTTAGGGAATTGACTTCACCTCAACCTCATAAACATGTAGAACTTGCACTCAACTTGGGGATTGACAATTATATATATAAAATGATGTGTAGGAGCATAAAACTACCGCAACATCGTTAAGAAGATTATACATTAAGGACTAAGCATAACCCATCTTTGGTTAGCATGGTTCATCCACCTAGACTAGATTATAGTGAACCATCTTCCCTATGCATGGCCTATCAAGGTCATTCAATAGTATGTTGCAGCACATAAAATCAATTAAATATCATAAACTATCTTCAGTTGGTATGGATCATCTACCTAACTACATTAATCTAAGGGTGTAGTATGGTCCATCTTTCTTAGGTATAACCTATATAAATGCTTAATTTCATGCCAATATAACCATTCCATAAATTCTTTCCTATTGTCACTATAAGAAATCAAGTGTAATACTTGTATCAATATGATTTCTAAGACAAGATAACAAATCAACACAAATATATATTCATGTGATTAACACATGCATCAATTTAATATAAAGAACATCAAGTCAATGTAAATACTTCTAATTTATGAAACTAATATATACAGTAAAAATCCCCAAATTGAAATACAAATCAAACCATGTTTACTTGGTCTCGGTTACATCAACTCCCTAGAAAAGGGATTTAGCCTCTCATGAATATGACTACACCCTCCAGGATTAAAAAAGAGAATATAATTCCCTCTCTCACCACCTTTGCAAGCCTCTTTCAAGAACCCTAAAAATCCTCCTCTCTTTCTGTATCTTTTCCAAAACAAAAACTTCCCAATCAAAACTTGGAGATAGATAATGATGGGTGGTTATAAACTGAAAAAGCCCTCCAAAGAGATCATATTTCATAGCCTTTCAAATTATAAAAGAGTTGGAGATATCCCTAAAATCAATGAAACAAACTTTGACAAAATCAAAGTGTGACAGCTCAGCATGTTGGCAGAATTAGCATGTTATTCTTTTATATTTTTGGCCTATCAATTATCCAAATTAGACTTTTCTCTCAACATAGAAAATATATTTCTATAAGTCAGCTTTCCAAATCATCAAACCACTTAGCAATTGGATTTATAACCAGAGAGATATGGTCAAAATACCAAAGGAGTGCAAAGCTGGGTTCTGCCATCTGGCAGCACGTTGGTGTCCTCTTGCTCTCTATTTTTGACATCTGAAACGTAGGAATTAGAATTCCATTAAAACATACCAAACATAGAGCTCTGAGTCCTCTTTATACAAAATCAAATGGTTTGTCATTTGGAGTTCAGCAGAGAGTTATGGCCTTTTTACCAAAGTTGTGCAGAGCTAATGACATGCGCGCGCGTGAGACAAGGCCTCGCGTTGGGATGCCAAGTGTTGATGCATGCCCAAATGCAACTGTTTTGCATTTCTTCAGCTTGGACCATTGAGTCCTTCTTCATCCAAATATGTTACTGAGAGTTTCCATCACATATTTGGGCCATCTCTTCTTGAAAACCACTTGATGTTTAGGCCCGATATGACTTGTGTTCCAAAAACCTTTAAAACCTTATTTTTATTCCTTTTTTGCAATTAGACCTGCAAAAACACAAAAACATAAAAATGGAGTTAATCTATATACATAAATCAAATAATGGGCTTAACTAATGCAATTAAGGGTGCTTAAATATGCAATATTTGACGCTTATCAGACCCCCAAACTTACATTTTGCTATTCCCTTAACAAAACAAAATTGAAACACAATTTCTCCTCTTTTGTGGAAGTGACGATTGCATTAAGCATATGAACAAGCCTTTTAAACCCCTAGGTATCCCTAGAGGATGAGTGAAGTCTCTTGAGGGTTTACCAGAAATGATACCCATAAACACTAAGTAACAAGGCTCATTATTGTGTACATCGAAACATATGACTTTGGGAAAAGACTCTATTATAAAGACTACAACAAGTATGCATACAATGACATTTCAAAATAATATTCAATTCCCAGCATTCATGCATCAACAAACTAGTCCACAAACATGATTTTCAACATATCATTTATAATAGAATTTCATCTCAAGTTCCTTAGAAGTGAACCGAAATTTCATTTTCTTTTAAAATGCACTTTTAACCCTTTTATGGCTCATTCAACGTTTTCCCATCCTTAATCTATCTTTTGAAATCATAATCTAAGACATACATTTATTTGAACACATTTTGTGTTGCTTTTTTTTTTTTTTTAATTATGCATGACCATGTGCAATGTCTAAGTTCCTTAAGCTCTTTAACCACCCCATGTAACAAGTGTTGAGCCAATGACTCCCAAACCAGATGGTCTTAAGGCGTTAAGTGTAAAGACACTCCTAAGGGCGTAATGACTCGGAATGGTTTGGCTACGAACTCAAACTAATTATATATCTTACATTCTTTCCTTGTCTTCCTTTTTAATCAGTTGACATGTTGAAAGAATGCAGTTTTATTCAATTCTTTATTTTATTTTATTTTTAATGCTAATGATTATTTCATTCATCCGACTTACTAATT